CCTGTGTACCTGTCACGAATGACGAAGATCTCTCGATCAGTACTGATCCCTTGATCAAGGATGTTCCTCGTATCGACAAAATCAAAGGTAACCAGATCTCCAAAAGCTTTGAGCTTTCTCTTGAACGCTCCTCGATGCGTCTTGAAGTGTTTCATCTTTGCTCTGATGCGTGACTCACAGTAGGGATTCTTGTAACGATGTGTGAGTAGATGCTCGATTTTCCTGGCATCTGCTTTCAGAGTTCCTCTTCTCACCATTCTACTTGCACCGTCAACAACATCCACCTCGATGTCGTCTGCATCATCATCGTCAGCTTCTGGTTCACTGTCTCCGGCGACATCTGATCCTACCTCATCTTCTTCTCCCGGAGATGCCTTGAACTTCTTATTCCTCTTTCGCCTTTTGACTTTTGGAGGCTCAATCACAGGAAGGTCGTCATCATCACACATGATTCCTTGAGGATCCACATCACAGTTGATGAAAGTCGATTGGTAATCAGCTTCATCTTCTCCTAGGGTGAACCTTGCGATCATCTCCGCCCTTGTATCGTCGGTGGGAGTACAGAAGTCACTGCCCTTGACAATATATGGGATGTTTCCCTCTACTTCTAACATGATTTTCTTGTAGTTCGGGGAAACCATGTACGGGTTGCCGCAGGCTGGCCATATGAATGTGTATCCTTCCTCCATGCATTTCTTTCCAACAGACAGTACTGAAGGAGACTCATCTAGGACGAATGGGGAGTAGGTAGAGTCAAATTCGTCGAAATGAATGTCGGCGACTCCTTTTGTGGATGTCACTCCATTCGCGGTATAGAATGACATTGATTGGTCGCTTTCTCTCACTTCCAGACCTAATTTCTTGGCTCTGCCTTTCGATATCAAATCATACCCACATCCTGTGTCCATGATGAACTTCGTTCTTGACCCTTTGGCTGGAATAGACAATGTCTTTGTGTCTGCATGATCTTTCTTTCCCTCGCATACATGAGGAATGACTTTATGATGGAAAACTAGGCCGTCATCTTCGTCAAAAGACATAGTGACCGATAGGTCACCCTTTGGTCCAACTGGTATTCGGACCCTCTTGATCTCAGTGTAGGGGACCATCAGTATGCCTCTCGCCTCTGCGACCTTTTCTTCAAATCTGATTTGTTCTTTCCTCGTGTAGCAGGTGAGCTCTTTCTCATCGTATCGTTTGATGTCCGGACGTAGAGGTTTCTTTTCTACTACCTTCCATTTGTCCCTGACTGAGTAGATCGCTTCGTTCAACATGATCTCACAAGTCTCTTCATCAAAGGATACTTTTGCACCTCCTTCTCTTGCCTTGGCGGATGCAGCAATCCCTTCATCTTCGGATTCGTCCATGAAGAGTTCACCGTCAATGGCTGGGGCTCCAGGCTTCGCCTTAGGCTTCGGTTTGGGTTTTGCCTTGGGCTTTGGCCTATCGTCTCCTGAGTCAGCTGGTGCAGATATCCCTTTCTTAGGAGAGGCTTTTGGGTCATGGTAGAACTTGCAATCCTTCCCTTTGTCACAAGTTCCTCGAATCCACATCCAACATACTGGCTTGTCATTCTTTCCGACAGAAGATCCTCTGGATGGTGATCTGGGTTTCTTGTGACTGAATGGGCAATCTTTCCCCATAGTGCAGTTACCTTTCACGAAGAATTTGCATGGTATCTTCTTCTTGTCTGTACTCGGACTTCGGCTGCGATCTTTTCCATCACCTTTGCCTTTCCCCTTTCCCTTTTTGTTCTTGTCTTCAGGATGCTTCTTGGGATTGGGTTTCGGCTTCACTGCAGCAGCGTCTTCTGAGACAACCTGTTCTTGTTGCCCTTTTGGTTTCTTCTTCGGATCAGCTGGTGCAGCTTTCAGTTTTGGAGCAGGTCCGCCTGGTTTGAGATTCTGAAAGATATTGGCCACATTCTTCACTGCCTTCTCCTTTTCCAGGATCATCCTGTCTTCAGTTTGCCGTTCGATGTGCCTTCTGATCATATCACGTAGATGTTTGTATGTCTTCTTGGCATCATCGTCGTTCATGCTGTTGTAGGCGCTGATGTCGTATGCCATGAGGTTTGAGTTCCTGATCTTTCTCCATAGGAGATCCCGAAGAGTTTCGTCGCTCGGGACGTCAACGGGCTTCATTCCTGCCAGAATCTCATCCCAAGTGTGGAAGAACAACGATAAGTTCTTGTCTCCTTGGTATTCTAGTTGGTAGAGGTGCATTGAAGTATATAAGACTTCCACATTTGATGTTGTCTTGAAATTCATAAGGATCAGGGCTAGGACCTCTCTTCCCTTTATGAGGCTTGATGTTCTCCCTTTTGCATTGATCCTCGTCCTCAACTTCATAGCTACACCTGAACCATCATCTTTCGCATCCATGACGACCTTGGTAAGAGCTAGGCCGAGTTTGGCATCGATTGAATGGAATCTTTGGTCTCCTGAGTCGACAAACTTGTCCGGATCAGGATCGTCCATGGCTTCTTTGATCCAGTCGATCCAGGGCTCTTGATTTGAATCATTGGCCGCAATGATGATCGATTGAATGAGATTTGCCTTCCATAGTCCAAGATCATTGATCCTGGGCCATGACGGAACGTTTATCTTTGATTCTTCCTTCCTCGATACTTTCATGATTGTAGAGGTTGCCGGTGTAAGATGAGATGAAGAGGATGCTTCTGCTTCTGAAATCTTGTCCCTCAATGATTTGTTCGCCTCAGATAGCTCAATTGATTTCTCCCTTTCCTCGGCGTACTCATTGTGGGTTTCTGCATACCATTCATACATCTCATCTCGGCTCTCTGTCATTTCATTGTACCCGTCCTTGTAGTGCTTCGCCTCCTCTTTTGCGTTCCGAATCTCATCTTCCTCGGACGCGTGGGTTGGTAACCCGCGGTCTCTGGAACTAGGACGCTTGCTGTACCGAGAGACTATGGGTGCCATTCGTGCTTCTGCTTTTAATTTCGCATTTTCCATAATGACATTCTTTGTCTCCTTCTGGCTTTCCAATAGTGCATTCTCCAGTTCTCTGATCTTCTGTTGAATTTCAGCACCATCATCGCCGAACATAGGAGCTCTCATCATATTCTCTCTTTTCAGCTGTGCGTTGGCTTCGGATAGAGCGAGGTTGACGTCTTTCAATTGTTGTCGTTCACGGATGGAACTTTCTAGGACTTCGTTGTTGAATATTTCTCCTTTTGCGATAACCTCCTTTGCGACGTTTGCTTCGTATTCATGGTGGCTCGCCTTCATTTCTGCCATTTCTTTAGCAGAGACTTCAGTCTGGCATATAAACATCTCCATCCTCATGCCCACTTCCATCTCTCCTATCTCCGCTCTCGCGTTGAGTTCAGCTCCACGTGCCATAGCTAGTTGACCTCGTAGATGATCAATAACCATAGCTTCCTGATTGCTCTGATCTTGAGATGAGTGAACACTGTGTTGAAGACGTCTTTCCCTTACCTCACTGTTCCATTGTTCTTCTCTCTGGTGTTGGATCACCTCGTGCATGTTGACATTCTCATCCTGTAGCGCAATCATTCTAGCTTGTATCTGGTCAGCTATTCCGACGAAGGCTGTGTTCTCATCCTGAATGGCTTTTGATCTTCTATTGATCGCCAATGAAGATTCATTCTGTTCTTGGATGTGTCCAATTGCTGCTTGAAGCTCTTGGGACATTCTGTCCTTCGTTGCTTTCACAGATTCAAGCTCTGAATGTTCTTGATGAGTTTCTTGTGCAAGCTCTTGATATCTCATGTAGATATGTTCAGCTGTCGATTCCGCCAAGCGTAGCTTGTGTTCGAGCTCTTCAATTCTTATTGTCGCTCCTTCATCTTCCTGTGTCATCTCTTGTAGATGTTCCTGCATCTTCCTGTCGTAGTCAGACATTTGCCTGAACTCCACTTCAGCCTCGTGGTGTAGTCGTGAGTATCCGGCTTGGATGCATTCATATTCTTCATGAAGAAAATTGTATGCGTTTCTCGCCGATCTCAATTCTTCACCCAGCTGAATCTCTCTTCTTTGCTCTTTTGTTCCTCTATCATCGTCACGTCTCTTCTCTATACTCCTTCTTGGGGATCTCGCGGTAGACGTTATAGGCGATGTAGATCTTGTTGTAGCTCTCATCGATCTTCTTGGTCCTACGGGTGCAAGATCGGTCAGATTCCGAGCCGGTGGCACGGATCTTTCCGAGATTTGTGATCCAGTAGGCATAGTGATAACGTCAGCATTTGCTGATGAATCAGTACCCATTGTAGAGTCTGGTGACGAAATGGTGTTGGGACCACCAGGAGCAGCGAATGAATAGGGTTCGCTTCCATTTCCTCCTGAGCTTGACATTGCAGGTTTCTGTAATGACTAGTCTTGTTCTTGGTCTCGTGTAGCTCGTACGGCTATAAAGAGCGCGTACGGCTGATAACCTGCGAGTGGATCTTAATCAGCGAAGTTTGAAGCTATCACTGACGGTCCATAAGCGGCGTAGCGTCGGAACGGAAACCGCACCTTTTCTAGTCGCTTGATCCTTGAGCCAAAGTACATATGGTACATATATATGTACAAGTTGCACTGTACGTGTCGCTGCACTTCCATTCGCATAAATATACATGCACAAACCCGGCCGTCTATGCCTTTCCCTCCACTTTGGTGCCCTTCATTGGTCCAAAGAGTCCAGTTGGCCCACATGACACACCAAAAAACAGCAGTTGCGGCTGCCACGGCATGTGCACATTCATGGCCAGCTCATGCAAGCTGACCAACCATCAAACGTGGTATTGCTAGGGGGAACGCATGGGGTTTTCGCCTACTAGGGCCTAGAAGGTCATCACAAGAACGAACACATCATACGGACAAGCACTTGTTTGCTCTTCGGTTCATGGCCTTCTTCGACCAGGCTATTGTTTTTTTTGCCGAAACCATCACCATCGGATTTTGGAAGCTGACTCCGACTCCTCCCATCCGTTGAGCGCCGCCCCACTCGCGCCGCCCCACTCAGCTCGCAGCCACAGGATCAACCGCGAAGCCCTGCCAGTCCAGGGCCAGGTGCAGCTCATCCACCTCGAGCTGAGTTCTTGGAATGACACATGCCGAAAGGGATCGGAAACAGGGAGGACCTCCCAAGCAACGACCCCCTGAAAGGTTTGGGAAATAGACCCAAGACCCATTGGGTTGGGGAATCTGCCTATTATTGTGCAAAATACACGCCCAAATAGGAACTGGATGGAACTGGTCATTGAACTTGAGGCCAGGGGGGGTGAACGAATGTTAGCCACTGCGAAGCAAGAGCAGCTCCAGCTAGCTGAGGCTAGCTTTCGTGATCAGCTGGTGAGTAGGTAAGGCAACCTCATGAGCCACCATAGAGATTATTCTCTCCTTGGATAAGAAGAACCATTGTAAATACCGTAGGGTCGTAGAGTTTGGCAGCAGCAGAGCGCCAAGAAACAGCAGCAGCACCAACAAACCACCAAGCATCTGCAGCAGCAAACCAACAAGCAGCAACAGCAGTAGCAAACCACCGAGCAGCAGCAGCAGCAGCAAGCAACAAACGCAGCAGCAGCAGCAAAGCAACAAATAGTTTGGTGTAAGCCGTAGTTTGGTGTAAACGGTGGTTGGGGCAAGCCGTGGCTTCGTGTAAACGGTGGTTTAAACTGTGATTTGGTGCAATCGGTGGTTGGAGCAAACCGAGCAGCAGCAGCAGCAAGCAAGCAAGCAAGCAAGCAAGCCAGCCAGCCAGCCAGCCAGCCAGCCAGCCAGCCCAGCCAGCAAGCAAGCAAGCAAGCCAACAAACAGCAAGCAGCAGCAGCTGATGATGAGTGGCATTAGTATGGGAAAGTGCTCATGAGGCAGCTTGATGACATGAGAAGCTCATGGCCACCTCCAAGAGAGCATTGGACCCCGCAGGGGGGAGTTGAACCCTCGGAGGGGGGGTACTCAAAATTCAAGGATTTGAGGTCTTTGGCTGCGGTCCACCCTGTCATTGCCTTGCTAAAGCAAGGGCGACTCCAGCTAGCTGAGGCTAGCTTTCGCACCGCCCAGATCGAGATGTAAAGCCACATCGGTATTCCTTCATTCATCAAACGTCTATGTTTCAATGAATGTTGTATAAGATGTTGGATTGTTTTATATTTTTATATATTGTTGCTGGGTGGAGGGGGGTACCCCCATGTTCCGTGAAAAGGCTCCAATGGGATGTTACTGTAACACTTGAGCTGTGGGTCTCGAATACGCTGAGGAAGCGGTTCACCAGCCAAGTCTCACGGAATGTTCTCCAGGGATGCCTCTCCCCCAAGCATGAACACCCCCAAAAAGAATGATCTTGAAAACTACATCCTGCAAAATTAACATGGCACCTGAAAGCCACTGGGTTGTAAAGGACAAATAGTCTTAAAAAGCTCCATTCTCAGATTCCATGTTAATCTTCCCAGGTGTAAGACCCCCCTAGCAGGTGTTGTTAATGGAGCCTTGGATGTTCCCTTCACCTCGTGGAACCATGACATGGCGACATCTATATGGATCGCGCGCTTCGTACTCACCCGGGAACCTTCGGTCCAGCGCCACTCCGGAAGATCCCGGGTGACGGCCGGCCGGCCCTTAGGACCCTTAGGACGCTCGGCCCTTAGGACGCTTTTTCTCTCGCACGGCCCTTAGGACGCTCGGTGGCAGCGCTGGTGCCAGACCGTTCGGCCCACGATCACGATGCCTGGAGCACGGATCCGGTCGCGGCGGCGACGGCAGGGAGCACGGGCGGCGCGCGCGGCGAACGCCAAAGGGGACGCGTCACACGGAGAGCACGGGCTTTGGGCTTTGGATCGATGCGTAAGACGTGAGAAGGACACCAGTGGCACCTAGTGATGCATCTGGAGCCAAAGTGAGAAACTGTGAAACACACTCCCTGAGACGTGTATCATGGAAGTGGCATTGTTTGTGGGACATCGGCCACTGGATGTTGGAAGATGTTGGAAGACCCCTGTTCTGCTAAAGCTTGCTAAGGGTCTGCTCAGCTTCCATGGTTCTCTGAGGGTAGGTCTTGGCATCCCGCTTCGAAGGTCCGAAGCCGCCTACCTGTATGGTCTGAGTTTCGAACCTCTGCAGCCTCTGCCAACCGATTTCTACGGTGCTTTTGGTTGGAGGCCAAACCTCATGAGCTTGATCATGTGTTGTTTCTGCACGTGCAAAGCGGTTGTCTTTTCTTCAAATTACTCGACTGTAGTCGAAACCATGTGAATATAGTAATACATATTTATATATATATATTATAAATATTATATATTATCCTAAAACATATTTACACATGCATATTATGTGTACCATGTTTGGATCATGTGATCGGCCGAGTCTACGAGGTGTTTAAACCGTGCTTTTGCGATCGTCCTCTAGCAGCGGATGTCATCCGAATTTTCGTATGGCACTGAATAACCTACCCCAGACACTCCATGTATGCCGTATATGCCTACATTGACCCCCCAAACCACCCCAACTGATCGGCATATATGGCACACATGGAGTGTCTGGGCACTGTAATCAACCATGGGCAAATGGCGGATTGTTTGCTCGGCTATAGAGTTCAGCATCGGACCACATGGACCGCAGGAGGTCTTCCAAAAGATTGAGGTAGTCAGGTAGTCAAACGCTGAAGGCTGTAGTCTTACGTAAAATATGCCACCTACATTATATTTCTTACGCTAGCAATTCAAGTGAATCTCCACACAGCCCACAGGTCTAGTTGGGACATATGGAAAACACACAGTTCCTCGAAAGCAATATATAGGCACCACTATAGGCACCTCATGTGGACTGATGAAGAAACATAACAAACTGAAACTGTAAACAAGCATCCAGGCATGGGGGCATGCGGATCCAGGTATTCAGGGGATTGATTCCTGACTCTGTCAGTTTCACACAGAACATAAGGATCATAAAGGCCATACCCTTTATCCACCCGTTTGTCTTTAGCGGGGTGTCCCAGCAGTCCCCCCAAACAAAAATTATCCAACTGCAGATGATCCACTTGGATTTCCGGGATTCATCCCCCCAAATAACCCAACATATGGGATATTCAGGTCGTGGGTGGGGGCGAATTCTGCGACACCTGCTTCTCTGACTCTGATCCACGGCCCGCCCGAACTTCAGCACAGGCACCGCCGGCACCGCCGAACGGCGCGCCGCACAAGGCGCAGCGTTGGCACGAGAGCCCCGTGCCGCGGTTGCTGCGGTGGATGCACGCCTCCGAAAGGAAATCCCATGTCTTAGATGCGGTGGATGTATGCCGAAGAGACCCATGGAACCTGGTTCTATTTTGATCTTCCCGGTGGCCGGGTGCAATTTCGATGTTATTATATTGTTGTTTTTTTTCAATTGAGTAGATAGGATTGGCCGGAATGTGCCCAAATTCATCAAAATTATGAATCAGAAAGTGTTGGTCACGCACTATGGGAAGGTTCGCAGTGTCCTGTTCAGAGACTGTTGTGGTACAATGTTGCAATATTATTCATTTGTAAGTGAGGACAACTCATGTACTATCATGTGCTCGAGGTCATGGCCACAAACATTGAGACAGTTCTTAGACACAAACATGGCCAGTTCTTTCCAGATCTTTGCATCGTGCCGGTGTTGTACTTCCCGATTTGCAGTCTGCAGGTCTGCCTCCTTCTGACTCACCATCTCCGCGGAAGAGATCTTCGAGCAAGCCTCCTAGGCATCCGAAGAACCAAGGGAGCAGCATTGAACGGAAGGTGCTTTAGCGTGAAAACAACTCCGTATGTGCGCCTGAAACCAGACATCAAAACATTGGCTCAATATGGCTCAATCAAGTCTTTACTGTTGACTTCTCCATGTGAACTCCATCAGGGAAAACTGTGGAAACCCGACGGTTGGTTCAAAACAAATATGTCATCAAGCTGAAACCGTCGTCGTCTTCTCAGAGGGCCATGGTATGCCATGCGTTCTCCGGCCCAATGAATGTTTTTAGGGAGGGTTTACTCCACACCTCTGGACGGGCAGAACGGATTTGATCAGAAATGGGGTGAGACTGATGTGGGATCAAGGAATGTAGGCTTCCGTCATATCGTGTGGGACATGATTATATATCCAACCATACAAATATGTCGTTGGGTCACTTGGATGACATTGAATCCCCAAGGCGAGATGAGTTAACTTGTTTGGGGAGCGCCAGCAGCACCATTGATTCATTGCGTCAGCAGCCCCTTTGAAGCTCAAGGATCCATATTGTTCCATGACACACTGCCAACTTAACCCAATCATGCACTGGCTTGGTCCAAGTGGGACACACACACACACACACACGCAATAAGCTCCCCTTTTGCATCCTTTTGCCCTCCAACACGCCTTCCGACACTTCGCCCTCCAACGCCGAGGGGTCTTTTCGTACGGCGAAGGAATCGGGTCGACGTACGGTCCATGCACTCCAAGAAACATGAAGATCTGCAGAGAGGCGCAAGGAGTCCAGGACCCGTTGCACCTCGGAGAGCAAACGATCCGTGAGCGAACGATTCGTGGGACATGAAAGGCAAAAGGGATGTTCTGGTGGTACTTCCCGGACACGAACAGGGAAAAGGGATCAAACATATAATGTACATTTAAGGAAGGTGCCAAGAATTCGATCGATGAAACATGTTGCAAAGAAGAATCCTCCATGGCCTCTGAATTCAGACTCTGAATCTTACGAGGTCCCCAGCAGCGCCCACCCCCTCTTGTGGTCCCACAGCATCCCACAAATCACAAAGATTCCTGGCTTGAAGTCATGGTATTACAAATGCATCATACAGGGCCGACAACTCCAGGGTTCTCAAGGTGGAACCTTTGCTTCATCATGTGGGTATGCGGGTCGTCCCAAATCGGGTCCTCCAAACCGGAGCAAGCATCTGAAAGGGCGCGGCGAGTTCCTTCAAATTGGGGTGAGCATCTGGGATACTGGAAATAAGATCCTGGCACACCCATGAGTCATGAGGCACACCCATACCTTGGGTCTATCATGTTCCCTGAAACCGAGGTTGCAGGCCTTTCTCGAAAATCCATGAACATCGTGAGTTGCTTCTTGA